CGGCGGGGCGAACCGGCGGGGCGAACCGGGCAGCGTCCCCGGCAGCGTCCCCATCTCCGCCCTCTCCCCTGCTGCGATTTCAGCCCGCGAGGGACTCGGGAGCCGGAACCGCTGTTGGGCCGCCGAGGGGAGGCAGGATTGCTCGTTACGCTCTTCAGTCTCCACCGCCTTAAAATGCGAGGGGGCACGGGCGGGCCCAAGCGGTGTTCGCTGCGCTCGGGCCGTTCGAGGTCTTGTCTGTAAGACCGGGAAGGAGGGGAGAGGCCTAGCCGTGCGGCGGGGAAGCGCCAGGGCTTTAGAGGGGCATGGCCATGCCGCGGCCAAGGTGATGTTTGGAGAGAAAGGCTTCCCCTCCTCCCTCACCCCTGTCACCCACCCTCGTTTAGGGTTTGTTTGTAGTACATTTTCTAAACTTTAAGGAGGCAGCTTATTAAATAGGCAGTGTTCTGATTTCTGTTATTGAAATAAAAGAAATATGCAGTATTTGAAAGGGACTTTAAATAGTTTTAAGTAACTTTTTTTTTTTTTTAATTCAGGCTGTCTAAATAAGGCAAAATCTGTTTCTTAATATGAAGAAAAGCAGAGGCCGGACAAGTCGAAAGAGAAGAAGAAAACACTTGCAGAGTTTTATGGATGGAGGTACTATTCTTGAAAGTACTGCTAAATAATAAAATAACCAGTTATTTGTCAAGGTGTCATTTTGTGGTGTATATTCATCAAACACCTGTGTGCTTTGAAAATAACATTCATAAATGTTAGCTTTTTCTATGCAAATATTCTAGCATTAGTTTACAGTCCCAGGCAGAGCATGGTGAATATTGTGAGCTCTCTTTTCTGGCTAATGGGAAATACTACATTATTCTTAAATTCTTTGACTCTGGACTGTGAGTCCAGAGTCACAGTCAAATAACTCCTGCAGTTCTGAGAGCTCCCAGTGCCTAGAGGCCCAGAACTTATTAAGCTAGTTCGAGGGGAGCCTTTCTTGCTATTCTGTTATGCTATACTAAAATGTCCAAAATACAGTTTTTCTGACCATACAGTAAAATTTTTCAATTTCCTTTATTTTCCAATAGAGTGCTATTTTATAGCATTAACTCTCTCTTTTTTACTGTTAGTCAACAGCAGTCACAAGATGGAATACATTAAACTTAAGAAGTGGCTGAAGGACAGAGGATTTGAAGACAGTAATTTAAGGCCAGCACAATTCTGGGGTAATGTTTTACTTATTTATTGGTGGTGCATATTTGATTCTTCTAGGAACGTTAGATTCCTGCTTTCATTTTGAATCACACAACTGACTGGCATCAGGAAAAAAAGCCAGTTACCGTGAGTCCTTTAAGGACTTCTGGTATATGCGCGTGAATGTCATTTAACGTAAACAAGTAGGTATGGAGGCCTGAAGTACTGCAAACTGTTTCCTATATAAAGATGCTCTCATGTAAAACTCTAGTATGAGAATACTCTGGTATGCTACAAAACATGCACACCTATGTTGAATTCCTTGTAGAAATCAAGATTTTAAGTGTTAGTAGCACAGTTTTAAAGAAGAAAGTAATCTCTCTTAAGTGTTTCCAGTATCAGAATCTAACCTTGTTATCATTTCTTCATCTTTTTTTCCATGCAAGTTCAGCAGATCTAGTGATACAGGAAAGTAAATAATTTTAGAGCTGGGATTCATGTAGTACTGTTTACAGTAAAGGTATATACTTGTATTTTTTCTCTCTAAGTAGATTATTTTTCAAAAACATGCAATATTAAAGACAGAGTAGAGAGAGTAGTATGAGTCAGAGAAAAAATACTCTGAATAGAAATTGTAAAGTTTAGTTAAAACTCTGAAACCAAGAACAGCAGCCAGTGATGAAAGATGTGTTTAAAGAAAAAATTGGGGAAAAGAAGTTGAGTAATTGCTAGAACTGGACAGCAAGTGTTGCAGGGGATGCAGGGGAAGGGCTTTCACAGGGTCCTGAAAAGTAAAAAGAGAATCAGAGAACAAAGCCATGAGGTATATATCTGGAACAATCCATAATTGGCTTTTCTGATTTGTAAGATTTAATGTATGTTCTTTTAGAGCTTTCCCTTGCTGGCCTGTTAATTTATTGCAGCTTATCATAGTCTCCTGTATTTTACATATATACATGTATTTGAGTATCCTCTTTGTTCCTGCTTCAGATACAGGAAGAGGATTAATGACAACAAAAGCTCTTCAGGTTAGTAATGTTGATTCTAATGCAAGAGCTCCTCAGGTTCTTTGAGATGTAATGACTTTTGCAACAAGCAAAGCTCAAAATTGCAGGCAAAGTCTTCATGGTCCCTGTTGTGAATGTAATTTCTAGCCTAATACCAGAATTTGCAGTGTTGGCATATCTGTAAGATGATTTCCTGTGTACTCTGATGACTTGTAGGATGAAGACATTCCTGTACTCATTTATAGAGATCTAGCATGTAGTCTTGTGATTCAGTTTAAGGCAATCAGTGGCTAACTGAAACCAGAAGGAGCAGGCCTCTTCCCTCCTGTATGGCTTCTCTCTCAGCCACTGGCTCCCACAGCTTCTTTTGCACTGACTGCACTAGCAGTCTTCCCCACTCGTGTGGTAAGTTGCATTGGGAAGCTAAACTAACAGAAAACTCTCTCTTCAAAAAAAAAATATTAGCTTTGATAGCTTTGCTCCTTGAAATCTCCCACCTTGGTCAGACCAGTGCTGGTACAAAGGGAGGAATGGCATATCAAGAAGGGGGATGGAGGAAAACGATGGGGCTTTAAGCAGCATTTGGCTTTAGATTATCTTAGCCATAATGTGAAACCATGGCTTTAACCTCACTTTGATAGCCCTTTTCTTTGTTGGTAGACGAGCTAATAGAATCATAATTTCTATCATTCCCAGCAGAAAAGGGGAATGATAGAAAAAATACCTTGCCTTTCAGATACTGGCACAGAAAGACTGAACTCTGACTGAAAAGTGCCTCTCAGAAAATAGGCTTGTTGGAGAAGGTTCCTAACTGGTATGAGAATAGTATATCAAATAATGGGGAATCAGAGCCAGCGCCTTTTGCAAAATAGAGAGTATTAAAAGGAGATGCAGTGGAGAAATCATGTGTGGAGAACAGTGTATGTTCTCATGCTGGCTCAGAGTTAGAGCCAGCAGTTGAAGGCAGAGGCTCAGGTTATCCACAATGCTGGGAGTCTGCAGTGAGTGAAATGAGAGCTAGACTCAACTGGGCTTGAGCAAGATAGGGAAACTCAGGAGAGGAATGGAGAGAGTATTGACTTGATTCATGTCCTCTCCCTACAGGCATGGACGCATATGGCTCAAGCCAGGCGTGAAAGCTAATTTAAACACACAGCAGCTTGGCAAACAAGGTCAGGATAGACATGACCTAAAGTATCCCTACCCCATACTGTTATGTTGATAGAAGTTCAGGTATTAGTGAGATCTAATCTAACTTACATCTCAGTACAAAAAAAGTGAGTAGCCAGACACCAAACTTTCTGTGAACAGCTAACTTTCTGCAGGTGACAGTTCCTACTGACTGCAGTCATCCTCCTTCCCTGGACTGTGACTGTCTTTAAAACCATGGCAGTTTCCATCAAGTTCAACATCACATCTGTTTGCCTCCTGACGTTAGTGTTCTCTGGGGAGGGTCTCTCTGTTCAGAAATGGCGTAGTAGATGAGTCATTTACACGACCTTTACTATTCTTTGTGTGTGTTGTGTTTTTTTTTCTCCCTCAAAGGCAGGGGATCTGGTTATTTCATTGCCTGAGAAATGCTTACTCACCACGGGCACTGTCCTTAGTAGCTGCTTAGGAGAATACATTATGAAGTAAGTGAAAAGTGACATTTTATGGGCAAGCTGGCCTTTCCTGTGGGTTGCTCATTAGCAGATGAATCATCTGAGTGGTGGTAGGGCTTTAAACTGCACACCCTAACTTGTATGAATGTTTCTTGTGGACTTTCATGCATGTGGAATGCTCAGATAAGTAAGGTTTGGACACAGAGCATCCTCTTTTAGCTAAGTAGAATTGGAGGGATGGTACAGGCTTGAACTTGGCCTGCCTCTAGAGCCAGCTTGGACCTAGATGCCAGTTATGAATGGTTTCTTGGGAATTTGTGAATATGCTTCAATAGGAGAACGGGGATAAAATGGGGTTGCAAAGCAGTCACATGAACATGGCTTTTTAGAAAATTCAGAACAAATTGCGTACTTGTTATGTATCCTGAACCACCCCCCCCCCCCAAAAAAAAAAATCCAACCCAAGGGGTGAGCCTGAAATTGTTACTACAAACCAGCTTTTATAGCTTCTCAATAAGATGAAGTCAAAAGCCCCTTTGAAATCATCAAAAGGACTTGGAGGTGAACCACAAAGAAGTTTAAAATAGAAGCTATTTATAGCATTTAAAAGAACTAGAAGAGAGATAAAATACTGCTGCATCCATTTCCTTTCTCACCTCTGTGTATCTGCAATGTTGGTATTTTTATTTTATTTTCTAATAGATGGAAGCCTCCTGTATCTCCTTTGATAGCACTGTGCACGTTTTTAATAGCAGAGAAGCATGCTGGTGAGAAATCTCTGTGGAAGCCATATCTTGATGTTTTACCCAAGACATACACTTGCCCTGTTTGTTTGGAGCATGATGTAGTAAGCCTTCTTCCTCAACCATTAAGAAGGAAGGCCCAGGAGCAGAGAATGACGGTCCATGAGTTGCACATGTCTTCCAAGGCTTTTTTCTCTTCCCTGCAGCCTTTGTTTGCTGAGAACACAGGAACTATTTTTAACTACAGTGCTCTAGAGTGGGCTTGGTGCACTATTAATACCAGGACAATATACATGAAACATTCACAGAGGGAATGTTTTTCTCTTGAGCCAGATGTTTATGCATTGGCACCATATTTAGATTTGCTAAACCACAGTCCAAATGTTCAGGTAAGAAATTAAAAATAGATCACTTAATTTCATTACTTGTGAATGCACTATCTCAATGCAGTATGCATTTAAGTGATGGATTAGGAGTGTCTGGAGGTCAGTGAGAGATCTCGTAGTGGGGAAATTGTCTGTTGAGGACATACACAGGCTGCGTACTCATGGTTGGTATATACCCTGGAGCTTGCTGTTCAGCCCAAGGCAGTTGAATAAAGATGATTCAAATGTTTCAGTTTATGTAGCAAAGCAAAGGTACAGGGAGAGCCCACAATGGCTGGGTAAGATTTACATCCAAGGTAGCTATTGGGAAGAGCCACTTGTAAATATAAGCCTACTCTGCTCTCCTGAAAGGCTCAGCTCCTGAGACAAATCTCGAGTTACACGGTCCCTGTGTTACTTCACCTCTGTCTGAAGCTTGTGGGCAGCCTTAGGAAAATGTATAGAGCAGTTCCACCTTATGTCAGGGACTGTGTGCCAACATAGAGCTGGGATAGCACAAAAGTGGCCAACTCTGCATGAAGCCATCTTTTTGTGGATTTGGGGCCTCTGTAATAAGTCTACACAGTGGGTGGCACGTCCTGCGGACTAAGATTTTGATGTTTGTTCTTCTTCATACTCATATTTATGGAGTAATCCTGGTGTGGAATCATGCAAATGGATTGTCTTTTCAGACATCTGCAACACTGTCTGTTTTGTTGCAGTGTTAGAGGAATGTTCAATACTGTTGGGTTTTAATATTCAAGGTCTGATTCCTTTTTCACCCTGTCTTCCTGCCAAGAGTAAAACCTTTTATTTTTAATTTCTCAAAGGTAAAAGCTGCATTTAATGAGCAGACAAGAAGCTATGAAATTTGGACAAATTCACAGTGCAAAAAATATGAAGAAGTATTTATCTGCTATGGGCCTCACGATAATCAGCGACTGCTACTAGAATATGGATTTGTTACCATGAATAACCCTCACAGCAGTGTTTATGTCTCATCAGGTTGGATATATAGATTGTCTTGACATTGAAAGGTACAATAGCAGAGAGCAGAGCATCTGAGCGTATTAATGCTGTCTGTCTTCAACAGGACATGTGGGTGAAAAGGGATAACTAAAGGATAGGGAAGAAGTACATGCACTTGCATATATAGATATGCACACAATGCATGATATGCACAATGCATATTAAAGCATTATGATTTTTTTTAGTGCCGTCGAGATATTTATGTGTATCTCCAAGAAGTGGAATAGAGTTTGATACCACTTTGAACTGCATAGAATATAAGGATTGGAGTTTTTAAATTGAAAGTGTTCTTTGGAAACTTTGCTTTTGTAAAATTGCAATTCTTACCAGCATGTATGCAGAGCTTCCGACCGGATGTCTTAGATTGTACCATTGACTTCAGGATTTAAGTCTTGATCGCCACAAACTGAAGTTGCTGAGAGTGGTTCATAACTTCAGTTTGAGTCAGGATTTCCATTATAAGGATACAATCCTGGAGATTGCCGATAGCTTTTGAGAAGTAGATACATTTTTGATTATGTTAAAGTTCACCAAAATGTAGCAGGTTTTGGTCTTTGTCCTGTAGCTACTTGAAAAATATGGTTGAAATGTCATTTCAGAATTGAGGATTGTTGTTTCTTCTGCATACCATTTATTTAAATATCTAAAATGTGTTTTTATGCAGATACTCTACTCAAATATTTTCCACCACTGGACAAGCAGAGAAATGCAAAAATTGCCATTCTAAAGGATCATGATTTCTTAGAGTAGGTATCTGGAGTTTTTTGTTTCTATGTGAGCTTTCTTTTCAGTTTTTCTGGGAGTCAAATTTGCTTCTAGTATCAAAATCCAGCATAAAATATTTATTTGTTTTATTTAACAAACTGATTTGCTTGCTGTTTGTGAGAGAAGGTAGAAGCTTGAGATATGTTTCAAGGCCCAGGCTGTCTCCTAGCTGTGGATAGCTAGGGGAGTCAAGGAGTCCTCTAGTTCTGAAGAGCAGGTCTTCCCTTGTTGACGCTTGTCAGGAAGAAAGCTATCATGCTGTAAAAGATCACCTATACTTTCTGACTTTTTAGAAATCTGACCTTTGGGTGGGATGGACCATCTTGGAGACTCCTCACAGCCCTCAAGTTGTTAAGTCTTGGAGCAGATGAATTGTAAGTTTCAGTACTTTTTGAATGTTTAGACAATGTGCATGTGACATTTTCCTTTATTTGCTCTTTGCTGGCTGTGTGTGAGATACTGGGACAATTTGGATTTCCTGTGTCTATCTCATTGCCTCCAGGTGAGAAGTGAAAAGAGGAAAGGCAAAGAACACCATATAATGTAAAGTCATTGCCTATTTGCTGCCTTGATCTTTTACTTTCTTGTATTAAACACTAGAAACACCCCATTGTTTTCCCTTTCTATTTCGAGAATGAGATATTACTTTAAGGTTCAGACTCCAGATCTTTTTCCTGTTGGTTTGATGGGACTTTTAGATGCTATTGACCTTGCTTGATTTCTTTGAAGCATGTGTTCCACAGGCTGCTTCTGAAATTCTAGGACCAAATAAATCGCTGAAATTCATTTCCAGTGGCTCTCAGCACAGTTTTGATCATTTGTTCCAAATGGCAAATTTACCTTAAAAAGCATTAATAGAAAATGGTTACCTGGGCTTTGCTTGTAATAGTAAATAATAATTAAAAAAAAAGTCTTGTCTTGTTTGAAGCTGTTTATGCTTCGAAGATTCGTTGCTGAGAGGAATAAGTTGATAAGAACTAAAAATAAATCTCCATGGTACTGGTTTCAAGCCCATGAAATGTGTCAGTATGTGAGGTGAAGTTTAGCAGAAGCCATGCTAATAAGTTCTGAGTGAATAGCTTTTACTCCTCACAGGTGCTGCTCAAGTTGCTGGCAGCATGGCAGAACAGTAAAGACTGGAAGCATTGGTCTAAGTGCAGACTGTGGCTTTGGCTGAAAGGGTAGGGGTGGAGGATTGGAACTGCTGGTCCAGACCATTAAACCTCTCTTCTCTTTTGCTTGCCTGATCAGTCTCATATCTGAATGCTGTGTGCCTTTTTCATGTATGCTGACCCTACTTGTCTTATGCCAGCGATGTTATTCTTAGCATAACCATAAGTTTATCATTCAGTTGGGGAACACAGCAAATGACTGTGTGTTGTTCAAACATTTTTGTTTTAGTACTTGCTGGAGGAGAACGCTGCTTGGTGATGTAATTTCAGCCAGAAACGAACAGCAGACTTTGAATATAACAGCAAAAATATGCCATTTTTTAATGGAGGAGACGCAGCATGTCCTTCTTCAGGTAATTTGACTGGAAGAACAAGGTAGCCCAGATTCCTTTCTCTCCTAGCATAAATGTACAGCAGTGTAATTTTCTGGGGTGAGAACAGAGTGACGGAGGGAATTGACTACACTGGGGTGGTATAGGATTTGTTTCCAGAGTGACTGACAGCACTAAATTGCTCAGCAGAATTTGTGGCTGCAGCAAAGAAAGGAACCGTGTTACAAAGCTTATACGAAGCCTTGTAAACAAGTGAAAGGTGTTTAACCTTGCTCTGCCTACAGTACCAGTGTGTTTGTTGAGGTTACCTCTTAAAAGAAAATGCAGGCTTGTATGAGGTGGGCACATCAGACGTTGCAGACCTGCCACGAGTGCCTTGTTGCAGAAAGTGAAGGCTGTGTTCATTAAAGCCAGTCAAGCCCAACGAGCTACCCATGTCAGCCAGTCTCCTGTGAGGGAGGTCTGTACTCTTAGAAAAACAATCTCTCTTTCCTTTCTGAATTTTGGCAAACAACATGTGTACTTAATGTCAAGTTGGATAGCTATCATGGGAAAGGGTTATTAAAACCACACTTCTGCAAAGGAAACGCGTATATGCACAGAGTATGAGGTGAATCTGGTCTTGAGCAACATCTTGAGGATAGTATGGACTTAGGAGCCTGATACCAGGTAAACATTTCCCTTCCCTTCCCCTCCTTGTTTTTGGTCTGCTTCCTATCCATGTGATGATTTTTTTTTTTTCCTTTTTTTTTCCTTCTTTTTTTCTTTTACTATTACAGTTTCTCTTGTGGAAAGTTAAAAAAAAAAATACTGTATTTTGACAGAGTTTGTGGAATCCTTACCACAGAGGAGCTTTACACAAATTTCATGTTCGTGTCCTATATTAAATAATCTGAATTTTTAGTACTTTCATTCCATTTGTATAAACTTCAGATTTCCCAGTTGAAAAGGAACAAAGAGCACCTCAAAAAACAACTGGCTTTGGTAGAAGCACTGCGCTTGGAAGATCTGAAGATACTACAAAAATCAGCTGAGATTCTTTGCGACTTGAATATGGCAACAACTTGACCCATCTGGAGCTGTGATAGCTGCGGCTGATTTGAGCTCATTTGCCATGGATGTGCCTTGCTCAACTGTTTTAATGGACCTGAGCAGCAAAGAATAATGTAAAAAGTCATCAGAACACGCCTAGTTTTGTTTACAGGGTCATGCAGGACCCAGAGTCTTATTTTGTTCTTTGCTGACCTTCTTCAGTAATGCAAAAGGTTAGCCCAAATGCGAGGGGGGAGCACAGGTGGCTTTCATCACATCTCATCCAAATCACGCTGCTGTGAGCAAAACAGCTTCTGGGGTAATTTGAGCAGCCCCAGGATTGTGGGCTCCAGCAGTCCTAGACTTTACAGCTGCCTGTGTGGCTAAAGCATGGATCATAGGGTCAAGCAGATACTCCTCAGTGTGTATTGACAGAGTGCACTTGACAGAGAGGCAGAGCACAGAGCCGCTTATATTTGCCCTGTACTGATCCTTTACTTTTTCCCTGGGATCTGTACGTGTCCCCAAGAGTTCGCAGTTCATGTAGTGCCTGTTCATTGCTGGGGTAATAGATGCGGATTAGAGCACAGATCAGCCCTATGGTGACCAACTCCAAATCATTCCCTTCACAGTTTCAGCCCAAGTGTTTCTTGAATGTAAGGAAATGTGAACTTCCCTCCTTTACTCTCAAAGTTCCCTCCAAACTCACTAGTTCTGACTCCTCCTGCTGGGAATGAGAACTGAAAGGATATATCACTTTGAACTCTTGTTTCTTGTTTGGAAGACCACCCAGGCAATTCTGTTTCCATTCAGTTCTGGTGATCACACTGAGAAATGTTCCCATCCTGTCTACAAGGGGATAGTCTCATGAGCTGCCTTTCAGTATTAGTTCTACTTCAGTAGGGAGCTTGAGTTCCCTATGTCGTTTAGAGAAGAGAGAGACTTCTTCAAAGGGCATTTCAGGGCAGGACCCTTATTTAAGCTGTGTAAACTTCATTTATAGTTGTGGTTGGGTTGTGATTATTTTCCATTTTGTGGGGAATCACATTTCATAGAATTTGTCATTACTATTTTTAGCATTTTTTAAGAACTGTGTTTCTAAAGTGTTTATTTTTGTAAATATATTGGTTCATTTTCTGCAAGACTTCTGTATTTTTGAAATAAATGAAATTGTATACAGCAGTATAGGCATTCTAGATAATGATATAATTTAAAGAAAAAATGCAACAAGTGAAAACTGTGAAGTATTCAAGCTCAACTGCACTTTCAGACTTTCTTTGGTACCTTGTGAACAAGAATGTTATTGTGTAAACTTGCTTGAATTTGAGGATTCCAGGGGTTTTCCCTGCTTTTTTTTTTCTGCATCTGTCTTGATACATGGAGCTCTGAGAAGGACCTTTCCTCACCTAGAAGGAAATGTTGGTTTAGGTTCAAAAGACTGGGGGAACTGAGAAGTGTAACTGTTTGCTGTTACTCAGTTTCCAAAAACAAAAGTTCTTGCTTTTGAGGTGCCATCTTCATAACCTCTTTGTAGGATTAGGAAGTTCTGAAAATAAGCTATTTTTTGCCTTGTTTACTGTAATGCACTGAGACTCTTGTGCTCTCAGGCTTTCTGTATTGTTGATCTGGAGATGCTGACAATGTGTGGTTTCTTTACATTTCACAGCAGAGGGCAGGGTGAATGGGTTGGGAGAGGAACAGAAGTGCTTTCTGGAGCTAGAAGTGCATTTATTACATCCTTTGGGCCAACTTAATTTCCTATTTGCCTAAACTGTGGTTTTAACCCCTGCAAGTCACTTGGCACCATATTTTATACTCTGGTCAGTCCCATTCTGAAGTACCTCCTGGGATGAGATGACTGTCTGGACTTGGGAATGCAATCTCTACTAATCTCACCGAGGGCAATTCTCATGAGCTGGCGTTAAGGGTCCTTCTGTACCACAGAACCTGGCTACAGCAGAGAAAGCAGGGCTGAGACCCTGACCCAGTGACTGTTGCCCATTCATTTTGATTAGGTCTGCAAAAAGGTCTACAGAAGTCATGGATGACATGAAGAGGGTGGATGGTGACCGAGCATTCACAATCCGAGAAGTAAGGGCTTTCAAAGGAAGCTTGAAGAAGTCAGGTTCAAAACTAACAGAATGTGGTAACAAATCCACTGGTATTCCTAAGGAATATGGATACAAAAGTTGACATGGGTGCAGAGCACATACACATGGAAGACAGAGCTGTTGGCAGTTACCAGCTAGCCAGACAACTTTGGTCTTGTGTAGTCCCTGATCTCAAAATACTTGAAGGTTGCGAGGGTATTGATGGCAGGTATTATATACGCTCGACCTGTGCTTGCTCTTAAGGTGTTGGTGGACACTGTGGGAAACGGTACTGGGCTAGAGCGATCCTTGCTTTGAACATGTCCTGCAGTTTTGATGATTACAGTTGAACTGTTTGACCTCTTACTTTCTTTTAATAAAAACATTTTCATTCTCTAAGAACAGATGTGTTTCTCATTTTATAATTTTATAATGAGATGGTATCAGAGTTAAAGAAGATAAAGATGTTTGGTTGTTTTTTTTTTTTTCTTTTTTCTGGAGATGGCTATTTTAAGACCAACTTCTGTATGATGTGCCTTGCAAGATGGATACTAGTTTGACAGAAGTTTATTTGCTTCAGTATTGCACTATAGACCACATTTATACCAGGTGGCTTGAATATGGGCTCTATTTCTGCAACTCCTACAGGCCCTCCAGGGAGTGTAGGAAGGGGATCTGGTAGTGCAGGAGGGTAGGCAGCATGAACTTCTTGTCTCTCTCTTGCATGTAAGCGCAGCAGTAAGCCCCCAGCTTTACCTTAAGCACTGTAGCAAGTGTTCTGAATAGAGCCATGTGTGTTTAACGTCAAAGGCAAAATCCTGCCTCAATAAACTATGGAATGGGAACTAGTGCTTTTGTAACACACATCAATAGCAATGGATTTTTAACAGGAGTAAACCGGCGTAACACAGGTCGTGATTCAGCATTTGTGTATATATATGCCTAGTGCCCTGGTTTCAGCTGGGATAGAGTTAATTTTCTTCCTAGTAGCTGGTACAGGGCTGGGTTTTGGATTTAGTATGAGAATAGTGTTGATAACACACCCATGTTTTAGTTGTTGCCGAGCAGTGCTTACACTAGGCAAGGCCTTTTCAGCTTCCCATGCTCTACCGACTGAGAAGGCTGGAGGTGCACAAGAAGCCGGGAGGGGGCACAGCCAGGACAGCTGACCCAAACTGGCCAAGGGATACTCCATACCATGTGACGTCATGCTTGGTATAATAAACTGGGGGAAAGCTGGCCGGGGGGACCACTGCTTGGGGACTGGCTGGGCATCGGTCGGCAGGTGGTGAGCAATTGGATTGTGCGTCACTTGCTTTGTATATACTTTTAAAATTATTATTATTATTATTGCTATTTTATTTCGATTATTAAACTATTCTCATCTCAACCCATGAGCTTTCTCACTTTTACTCTTCTGATTCTCTCCCCCATCCCACCGGGGGCGGGGAGAGTGAGCGAGCAGCTGTGTGGTGCTCAGTTGCTGGCTGAGGTTAAGCAGAAGCTTAAATTCTTTTTTTAATCAAACCTAAACTATGTGCAAGACAGGGCATCCTAAGTTGGGCTAAGAGCTACTGAGGAAGTAATGGCACTGGGAGTGCTCTCCAGCTGTCTTACAGAACACTAAATCAAGTTTTCAAAGAGTGAAGATGCTTACTCTCAGCCTCTACTTTAACTAGAGCCCCTTTGAGCTGCAAACATCTTAATCGCTTAGCTTTAGTGACGTGCTGTTAACATTTGGCTCTGGCTCTCTGTTAGTCTAAGAAGGGATTTAGCTGTGATCTTAGTGTGGAAAGACATACCTTATTTCCCTCTGCATAAATTTCCTTTCAGATCGTATCTGCAAATCTCAGCAATAGTAGGAATAAACCCCAGCTTTTTACCATTAGCAATACGAACCTGGTATAGACCATGGCAGTGAGCTAGATTCTCTTCCAGCTTGTGCAGTGTTACTCAAAGAGAGCTAAAGTAAGAATGCATTCTGTGACTGCAGTGAAAACACTGGGTTTGGGTAGGTGTAATGAGAGAGGCTTTATTTCTTGTGATAAGAGTGTGAGACAGAAATAGCACAGCTTGATTTTTTTTTTTTTTTTTGAGGGGAAGTTGATTTAGTGCAGTCTGAAGTCACTGAAAAATGATAAACATGAAACCTCATGACAGTATCTTTCCTGTGTCAATTTATGTAAATATGGCACGGATTTTCTTTGATCTTCTACAGAGAGTGGCTTCTAGTTTACAATTTTCTTCAGCTGTAATGTGTGGAGATCATCCATCATTGCTAAGTGCCTTTAGACCTGTCTGTTTCAGGACAAAATAAGGGAGTATCAACTCTCATACCCTCATAATTAAAGCTTGTAGGTATGCTATGAAAAAATTTCAAAGATGATATTTCTGAAGAAGGAGCTTTTAAAAATGATGTCGCCCAGGGTATGTAGCCCCTTCCCACCTAGAAGGTAAAGAATACCTCTCTAAAAGTGCCACACTTCAGCGTAATTTGAAGTGTTTGTTGGCACTCAGCGGATCTATGACTACAGTGGTGAAGATGATGAACTCTAGGACAGAGGGAAATTGTCCCAACAGAACTTTATGGGTTTCTTTACACAACAAATATGAACTAAAGTTGTTAAAAGACTTACTTATAAATTTTCCCTCAGTTTGGACCACCAGTTGGATCTGAACCGTGTGAAATTCATTATTTTTATCATTTCAGTACAAAAGCAGGGAAATCACAGCTTGGTGGCTGAATTCAACTAGAAGAACTTGATTTTATCCCTATCTAACAGAGGTTAGGTGGCATCAGTCTGCTGCAGGTTGGAGTGGAAAGAAAAAAATAGGTTTCCAGTTCATTTCTCTGAGTGTTTTAGTGGATATCTCTAATTCCAGAATGAAGTTTTAGAAAGCACTGCAATGAGCTATATGCAGTGGAAAAGCAAAGATATTCAATGAACCCCAAAGTAAATTGCGTAAAACCCGTGCAAAACTAATGCAATCTCTGTGTTGTCCACTAGATGATGCAACTGTACTAGAGAAATAAGAAATTACAGTAAATCCACGTGCATTATAATCCTATTCAGTGTATTATATTTTTAGTAGTAAAAAGTGTTGACTTCAATGATACAGCATGGTTGGTATTAGATAAATAGTTGAAAATGTAGTTTTCTTTCTGCTGGTTTCAAGTGAAACTAGAAGCTTTGTAATCTTTTATCTTTTCTCAGTTTTATTGTATTTTAACTTTGTTGGAGTTGCTCCTCTCTCAAGTTGAGTCATGTCGTTCTTCCCTGAAACTGTCACCCGAGACATAACTAATGGTTCAAATCATCTTTGTTATGTTAACTTGACCCTAATGGTTTAGCTAGTGGGGTTGCGATGGAGAACTGTCTGTTCATGTGTTTTTTCTTCAGAGATTAGGGGCCAGATTCATCTTTTGCACAGATCCCTTTCAATAATGTCCTTTGATGTGGCTGATTGAGCTCTGATTGAAACATTTCCTCTGTGTAGGGCGATTTTGTGGACTCTCCCTTGTGTCAGTTCTCTAGTGTCTCATAGTAATAAGCTGATGTTTGACCCTTTCCTTTGCAGTGCATTTCTTCACTGCCCGTTTTCGTGTCTTCTGTCTGCTTATTACTTTTGATGTGTGTTTGTTGCCTTGCTCAGTTTCCCAGGGGCTTCTGAAACAGCCAGTGTGTGTCTACTCTGCGTGTCCTTAGAGCCCCTTCAGATTGTCCCAGTTGCTCTACAGCTAAAAAGAGGAGGAGTGGAGGGACCTGCTGCTTGCAAAGCTACTGTTTTCTCCTGAAGCCCTCTCTCCTGTTCCTTAGCTCTTTCCCCCTGCTTCCAGTGCTGGACCATACTGCGACATGCCAATCTTGAGAGCACTGAAGTAGATTGGGCTCTAGTACCACCCTGTGCACGGCAGGAGGCAGGTATTTGCAGTGCACTTCTAGTGTAAGAATGTTTTTCCTCTTTACATACACCTGTACTTCTTCCAAGTCTGGCAGAGCCAGCTGTGTCCAGTGCTTTACCTCTCCACTAGGATGCCTGAGTTGGGCTGGAGAAATCATTAGATGAGCACTGTATCCCTTGCAGATACGTCCAACAGGCACTGCATGTGCTATTTTGGTAGCTCCCTCCTGCTGGGGCTGCTCTGGAAGGAGCTGGCAGTGGCAGTTTGGCTCTTTTGACCCTTGGCAGGCAACGACGACTATGGAAAGGACAGAGGGACGTTCTCAGCATGAGGCTGGTGCCATGCCTGTCTGTTAGCACGCTGCCTGGGCTAGCATCCAGAGCCTATATCTCTATCTGTAAGAAGCCAGCCCTCTGCAGCAAGAAAGTGCCAGTGAATTTCTGTATCCTTCCCATGAGATGAACTTTGCATCGACAGAGATGCTTTGGTGTGGGTGGGCTGGCCTGCAGGGGATGCTGGCGAGAGATCAGAAAGGACCATGCCATCCCAAGATGACTCATGCTGCTCTGAACTCTTTCTGATGTACTTAGATGTTGGGCAAGCCAGACCCTGGCTCAGGAGTGGGAAAACACTGTGTAGGTCATGGGAGACTCCTAAAGGCCTGCTAGGCGTGCAGTGTGGGCTGGGCTGTGGAGGTGGAAGGGGAAGGGTGGGCTAGGACAGGAGTGGCAGAGTGGTCCCACTGGAAAGGGGACGTTTTGTACACTAATAAAGTGCACACACTCCTGTTTGGCTTTTCTCTGCCCCTAAGTTCATGTAGATAACTGCACAGTCCTGCTGTTCTGTCAGAAATGGTGTGGTGGCCAGGGTGGCCGTTTCTGTGCCTTTTTGGGAAGGGGTGGCAAGGTAAGAGGGGTAAACATACAGTTTGGATAATAACCCTTAGAAAATTGTATTGCGTCAGGCAAGTATGTACATCTGTGTCTGTGTGCGCCATGCTGTGGCTAGCCAGTGCTATCGTAGCTTCATGGGAGCCGGCCTATTTGGTTTACTTGGCTGCCTAACCCTGGTTTGGCATTTTTTCTGCAGTATTAGAGCAGGGGCCTTAGGCTGAAGGACAGGGGAGAAAGAACGCTGTTTGTGCCAGAGCTGCAGTGATAGAGGGAGCCTTTTGGTTGTGCTGGTCCATCCAGGTGTCTTGCTGCTCCCTGCTGTCATGCACAGATGGAGAAGGGTGTGAATCCCTCGGTGTTGCCAGGTGGGAAATCTCTCATGTCAGGCTTCTGGTACGGCAGTGTGGTTAGCCTCTCTGACATGGAGAGACACGTAATGCCTCCCACTGTCACTCACTGGTGGGGTTGCCCTGCTGTATGGAATAGAGGTTGGAGGATGTGAGCTGCTCTGGCTGGGATGCTCTTGGGTGTGGAGCTGTCTAGTGAGGTATGTATATATATATATACACACACACACATATGTGCCAGAATGT